TCAGAGCTATGTTGCCTGGAGTCGTGTACTCTTGGTAGGGGCCTCCCTTGGCGAACAGGTCTGGAGGGAGGATCCAGAAATGTAACAATTCAAAATAAAGCCCCTCATAAATGGTTACAAATACCAAAATCGGAGAAGCTTGTCTGGACAAGATTTACTGGGACCCCCCCCCCCCCCCCCCCCGGAGCCAGGCCTGTGGGTGGTGTTTGCCGGCAAGCACCTGGTGGCTGGGTGACCCACGTAACCCTGTCGGCCCCAGCCCGAAATGGCTACATTGCGTCATACTGTGGGCCCACCATCCACAGGACAAATGGTGAGGGGCAGGTGTGATGCCAGTATGGGAGGGAGAGGAATGGTCTCAGACGGACTGGACCTTGGCGATGGACACTAGCTATTGGGATGTGGAGCCAGAGCTGGTGAAGGAGGTGGGAAGGTACCGACTTGATGTCGTCTGTCTCCCCTCCACACACAGCATTGGCACTGGAACCAAACTTCGCAATCGGGGGGTGGTCTCTCTCCTATTCTGGAGTAATCCCTGGTAAGAGACCCCTGGGCGTGTGTGGGGATACTCAAGCCTCCAGTTAAGTGCTGTTCAGCTGGAGTTTGTCCCAGTGGATGAGAGGGTTGCCTCAATGAGACTTCGGGTCTCAGAAAGGGTAAACTGACTGTTGTCTGTGCTTCTGCACCAAACAAGTTCAGAGTATTTGGCCTTCTGGTAGACAGTGGTTGCAGTGCTTGACAGAGTGCCACCGACCGACTCCATAGTCTTACTAGGCGACTTCAATGCTCACATGGGAAAGGATGGAGATACCTGGAGAGGCATGATTTGGGAGGAATGACCCCCGCTGATCTGAACCCAAATGGTAAGATGCTGTTGGAGTGATGTGCTAGTCTCAGAATATCAATAACAAACGCCATGTTCAAACACGAGGAATCGCATGAGTGGACTTGGCACCAGAGCCCCTTGGGCCGAAGTTCATTGATTGACTTTATCGTTGTCATCGGACCGAAGACCATATACTCTGGACACTCGGGTGAAAAGAGGGGCAGAGCTATCAACTGATCACCACCTGGTGGTAAGTTGGATCAGATGCGCGGGGCACCGACCAGCTAGACGTGGAAGGCACAAAAGACTAGTGTGGATTTTTTGGGAATGTTTGGCAGAACACCCAGTGCAGACAGATTTCAACTTCCACTTCCGGGAAAACTTCTCCTGCACTCCAGGGGAGATCATGGACATTGAGTCCGAGTGGGTGATATTTCGGGACCCCGATTATGGATGCAGCTGCGAAAAGCTGTGGTCTGAAGACAGTTGGTGCCTGTCATGGTGGCAACCCTTGGATCCGATGGTGGTCACCAGTGTGAGTGTAGTGGAGGCAACACGTTTATGTATAACAACTGTAATGGTAACACAAGGTCCCTGACACAAAGGGGTATCGGCCCCTTCCACACGATACCCTGGAGAGGCATAGCCTCCGGGCTAGCGTGGCCTAATCACTGGGACCACTTCCTCTATATATATATATTTCAGCCCTCCAGCTAGGGGGACCAAGGGGAGGCTAGCTGACCCGACCCAGCCAAGGTCCTCGGGTCCTGGCCACTGGCCCACTCGGTCCCAGCCCTTAGAAGGACGTCGGGTCACGGGGGTTCCCAGGGTCAGAGTCTAAGCTGGCTCTTCGGTCTTCAGCTTGACGACGACTGGCGAACCCGTTCAGAGGTCCGACTTGCAACAGCTCCCACAGGTCACTCCGCCCCTGGCCACGCCTACTCTCTGGAACCTTCTGGAGGGACTTCAACTATTGTGTAATCCCCCAGCTCCCAGTGGGACCTGGGGTGTTATCCTCCGGTTCCCAACCGCCCTCTGGGTTCCCTGGCCTAACGGCATTACTTGATACAGGCCGGACTCGCCGTTGCCCCCTGTTTGACCCATGGCTGACGCTACACCAGGTAAGTAGTGGCAACCGTGTGTAACGCTAACAGTAGCCACTACATGAGGGAAGCTGTCAAATTAAAGGAGGCTTTCCAAGCTATGCTCGGAAAAAAGTTCTCCCGACTCGATTGAGAGGGGGACCGGCTTGTCAAGAGGGCGGCAGCTACGGCAGTCGCCGAATCTAAAGCCCAGGCGTGGGGAGCAGTTTGGAGAGGCCATGGAGAGGGTCTACTGGGCAGCCTCAAAGATGTTCTGGTAAACCATCCGACGCCTTGGGAGGGGTCGACGGGACGTGGTCCAGGCAGGTGTTCAGTAAGGGTGATGTAACATTGACCTCAACTAGGAAGATAGTCGAGAGGTGAAATGAACACTTGAGGAGCTCCTCAACCCAGTGGACATGTTTTCCTTTCAGGAGGCAGCCCTGGAAGCAGCTGGGGGGGGGGGGGGTTGGATCCATCACTGATGCTGATGTCGCGGCGGCGGTCCAGGGCCTTCGTAGCGGCAAAGCTGCTGGGGTGGACTGTTCGCCCAGATTTAAAAGCGCTGGGCAGTGTAGAGGTGTTGTGGTTAATGTGTCTCTTCAATGTTGCATGGTAGACGGGTACAATACCTCTGGGATCGTGGTTCCCAATTTTAAAAAAGGGGACCCAGAGGGTGTGCTCTAACTCCAGAGGAATCGCACTCCTCAATGTCCCAATTAAAGCCGATGCCAGAGTGCTTGAGAGGAGCCTCTGCCTGATGGTCGAGCCTCAGATTTAGGAGGAACGATGCGGATTCCATCATTGTTGTGGAACAATGGACCAGCTTCTTTGGTTCTTTCGGTAAAGTCGCGTAGATAGAAAATAATAATAAAACATAAAGTGAATAATAAAAAAAACTACAAAAAACCACTAATGTATTAAACTGGATGAGTGTACTGGCAGTCTCTGTTTTGTAGACTTGGAGAAAGTCTATGACTGTTCCCCACAATGTCTGGTGGGAGGTGCTGTGGCAGTATAATGTACCATTGCCGCTTTTGTGCGCTGTCTAGTTCCTCTATTCCCGAAGTGAGCTGTGTCTGTATTCTTGGTGTTAAATCAAAGTCCTTCACTGTGGGTGTTAGGACTCTGCCAAGAGTGCGTCTTGTCTCCACTCCTGTTTGTGATTTTCATGGACGGGATATCACGGCACAGCTGAGGTATGGGAGAGTATCCAGTATGGGGGCATGGAGATGGCATCGCTGCATTTTGCAAATAACGTTGTCCTCTTTGCCTCATCAGTCTGTGATCTCCAGCGTGCACTTGAACGGTTTGATGCCGAGTGTGAAGCGGCTGGAATGAGGATCAGCACCTCCAAATCTGAGGCCACTCCTGGGGGATAGTGGATTGTTCTCTCCAAGTGAGGGGGGAACAGCTGCCCTTAGTGGAGTAATTTAAGTTCATCAGGCTCTCTTTCGTGAGTGATGGTAAATGGGAGCGGGAGATTGGCTGGTGGATCGGTGTGGCATCCTGCAGTGTTGCGGGCACTCTACCGTTCTGTGGTAGTGAAGTGGGAGCTGAGTTATCGAACAAAGCTCTCGGTTTACATGTCGATCCAAATTCCTACCTTCACCTCTGGTAATGAGCTTTTGGTAATGACCTGAAAAGGATCAGATCACAGGTACAAGGGGCCGAAAAGAGGTTTCTTTGCAGGGTTGCCGGGATCACGCTCCATGATCGGGTGAGGAGCTCGGTAACCAGGAGAACCTCAGAATTGAGCCGCTGCTCCTCCGGATTGACAGGAGCCAGTTGAGGTGGTTCGAGCACCTGGTAAAGATGGCCCCCGATAAACTCCCCCTGGAACTCTACTGGGCACATCTCACTGGGTGAAGACCCTGGGGCCGGCCAGCCCACGACATCCTGGCAGGACTGTCACTTGGCTGGCCTGGGAACGCCTGGGAATTCCCCAGGAAGAAAGAGTCTGTGTGTAGTAGTATATAGTAATGTAGTGCTGGAATCTGTCGCCAGGGAAAGGGAGGTCTGGACCACCCTACTTGATACGCTGCCACTGTAACCCTCACCAGGACAAGCGGATTGAGAAACAAACGAACCTTACAGCTCTGCGGAAAACGCCCCCCCTCCCATCCAACATCCCCAGCTGAGTGAACTGCCAGCAGTGCATGGGCCACAGGTTGAGAATCTCCCGTACAACGCAAACCCTGTAGCGTGACAGTCGATGGGGGAAACTAAGTACATAACCGCTACACGGTGAGTAACGATGCGATCTGCTTTTGTCGTCCTGCCTTCTGCTCGAGCTTTTTTCCCCTCGCGCACAGGAAGTAATATCGCCATGGATGTGACATTTTCCAGCGATGATAGTTCTTTGACTTCACTATAAAAAGGCGGGGAGGGGGAGGTGGGGGGAGGGGGGAGCAGCGAGTCTTGAGCAGGAGGGTTAAGGGTGGCAGCCACAGGAAAGGATCTCGTGCCCGAAAAGGTAGTCCCACCGTGACGACGGCAGCCCCAGACTCATTGACCGCGCCAACATATAACGAGTCAATGGTGGTTTGTTCTCTCACCTTTTGCTGCGATTTTGGCCCGGACAGATTCGTGTGGTGTATGGTGAGCTGTGTGGTATGGCGTCCTCTATGTCATCTCATCTCGAATGCTTATATAATTTGTTACCATCTGCTTTTGATTCACGTGTGTTTTCGTTCGTGACCATTAAATACCTTGATGGTCGGTTGTGCAATACTCCTGAAGGACCGTTCTGTGATATTAAAGTTTTTATTTTGGTGTTGCCGTGTTCTCGTGCACCGCATATCTCCCTTGAAAAATAGCTAAACGGGATCATCCATGTAGCAAAGAAAATAGACTCAAAAGTGCCTGGAAACCAACTGTATAGCGTTGTGGAAAATCGCTGTTGCTCATAATAGCGGTCAGATTTTGTGTGCAAGCGCTTACACTCCTGTTTGCCCATCTCCTTTTGTTTGTTTGGCAGTCTTCTAGTTGCAGCAAATGGTCTGCTCCTTCAAGTGAAGTAAAATTGGCTTCGTGATAAAGGTCTCGATTGTCGTATAATATCCTTCACGTATTGATTGTTTTTTTTGCAGGGTTCATATTTGTTGGAGTTGTGAAGTACCGAATGATCACTCTCACACAGTACATTGCGCCACTTATGGCCAACTTCGCGCCTAGCCTCTCCGACAACTCCACCGTCAAGTACTACGACAACGGTAGGTGAACGAGCTTCTTGCTTGAGAGGATGAGACACAATTACAGTCCCTCTCCCACACTTGGACAGACACGTCATTTAAAATAGATAATGGTGTACTTGCATCTTGGTGAATTACTTTCCAACTTCTCTATCTCGACCTGCTCTCTTTCTCTGCCATTAATGCGTTGAGTTGTATTTTGAAGAGCGGCGATTCTAGGATATGGTACACAGGAGGTGGTACCAACAGTGGAACCAAGTGATGTGGGTAAAACCAAGACAAAGATCCCCTGTGTAGCCATAACAGACTGTTAGCGGGCACCTAATGAAGGCCGGAATGGCACCTGAGGGGGTGGGTGGCCAGCAGTAGTGATGTCTACACACCAGGTACTCAATTTAGGTGGAGTCAACCTTGGAGGAGTCCCAGGACCAGTTGACATAATCGTCCCTGATGTTGGCCGTGAGCGGGAATTGAACACTAACCAATGCACTTACCGCTCCCCATAATGTATTGGGGCACCTGTTGTTGTCACATGTGAAGTTAAACCTCTCCAGGAGGATACTGTAGGAGCCGACGTTTTGGAGGCAACTGCTGTGGTATTTATCAGAAGGGAAGAAAGTGGTGGCACGGTGCTGTGGCAATGACAGCCTTTGCTGTGGTGACCTCCTTGAACATCCCGAGGAGCTGCCCTTTGAGTGAGAGGCAGCCGGCAGCCTGCAACCACCGCTGTTTGTTATTGGGGAGGAGCACATGCTCCTCGGGCATTCCTAAAGAGTTGATGCTGATTGTAATAAAAAAAATCATCTTTTGAGAGATGGCAGAGGTGGCTCGGAGGTCCGGGCTACTAGTTCACAACCGCTAAGTCCCCGAGTTTGAATCCAGGCCGCTGCCTGGTGATTAAACCAGGTTCTCAAATCATCTCACCCCTTATTTTTTTTCTGACAGTGAAGTTTAAACACCCTGGGTTGCGTAAAAAAAAAACATGGCATTTGTGTGGGGGTTTGGCGTAGGGGACGATGAGACGCATGGGGCGCGGGCGTGTGTGTGTGTGTGTCTTGTCATTGCCGGGAAAGGTCCTGGCAAGGATTATTCAACATCCCCTTACCAGGCACGCTGAGGGGAGAGGCTTGTAAAGCCCAAATGTGGTTTCAGACCAAGGTGGTCCTGTACGGATGCCACATTCTCTGACCATCTGCTACAGCAGAGGTGTAAGAAATTCCAACAAGACCTACCTCTGCTTTTTTGACCTGGTCACGGCCTATGCTACCAGCAACAGGCCAGAGCTTTGGGCTGTTCTTCATTCTTTCTCCTCGCAAGTGTAGTAGGTCAATAACCAGAGGAGAACTTCTGTGAAGCAAAACGAAGGGGTAACGGCCCGTTTCACCCGATACCTGAGGAGGTATGGCCTCCGGGCTACACTGCCTGCTAACACTGGGACCACTCTAATTCTTAGCCCTCCGGCTAGGGGCCCTAGGGGAGGCTACGCCAACCCGACCGTGCCAAGGTTTCTGGGTCCTGACCACTGGCCTCACTGGGCTCCGGCCCTTAGAAGGACAACGGAGCGTGGGGTCCAGGGTCCTATCTTCAGCTCTGTCTTCGGCTTGGAGATGACCTGAGCCGGACCCTTCAGAGGTCTGACTTATATACAGGTCCGTGGCTTGCTCCGCCCTAGCCGCGCCTCCCTTCCAGAACTTTCTGGAAGGTGACATCATCCTCCAGTCCCCCCTCCTGGGGTTTGGGGATTGTGTCCTAGGATCCTTTATCCCAGAGATTACCGTTGGCCCCTTGGGCCAGAGTCCTTTACATTAGCGTAATTGCACTTCCGCCCCCTGTTGACGTGAAGGGGAAGCTACTTGCTAACAGCATGGGGAGTGCCGATTAATGCCTCTACACAAGCATTAAGAGCCTTCATGATGGTGGGCAGGCCCGGTTTATATCTACGTGGCCAGGCGTTGGAGCCATTCCCTGTTCACTTTGGGGTGTGACAGGGATGTCTGCTGGTTCCTGCATTATTTAACATCCCCTTTGACCACTTGGGTTCGAGAAGCTTTCCATGGGTGAGCAGGAGTTTCCTTCTGGTTAAGATACAATAGGAGGCTGACTGATGCTTGGGTGCGGTCAAGGGATAGCTCCCGATTGGTCAACTATGTAATGTATGCTGATGATTGCTGCTCACTCAGAGGGGGAGTTGGAGGCGCTGCTGCTTAACTTGGAGCATGCTACTTAGAGGTGTAGGGTCTTACTATCAGCCCCACCAAAACTAAGCACCTGCTTGGGTAGTTTGTACCATAAAACATTCCACCCCTCACCTTCCCATTGGTGATGGAGCAGCTGTGGAGAGAGTGGTGAGTTTTACATACCTAGGCAATATGACCAGCTCTGGTGGACAGCAGATGTCTCCTGAATCAGTTGGGCGGCATTATCTTTTCATCTGCTACATAATGCTGCGTTGAAGCTATCTGGGCTGTCGCTCAACACGAATCTTCAGGTGTTCTCGGCTACAATCATGCCCTGTCTTCTCTATGCTTGTGAAACATGGATCCCTCTAATGCATCATATCTGCGCCGGTTAGAAACATTCAGGCTGGCCTGCCTATGATCCATCTGGGGTTTAACCAGGCTGGATTGCGTGAGGAGCTCACAAATCCTTGAAAGATCTGTACATATTCCCATCGATGAACTCTTCTGGCAGGCAAGGCTGCGTTGGCTGGGTCATGTAGCCCCCATGCCCATTCACCGCATGCCCAAGCAGTTTGTTTGGCCTTGATAGTGGGGGGCTAAACGGGCACGACATGAGCTGGAGAAGAGATAAGCTGATGCAGTAGAGCTTGAGTTGACTTGCCGAAGACTGGTACAGGTGGTGTCAAGATCGGCCACTGGAGGAGGCTCGTGAAGGACACTACTGGGCAGTTGGAGGCAGTCGCCCTTCAACAACAACAACGCAGGGCAGAGGAGTGACGCTCACAACAACGAGCGGCGCACCGGTTGGATAAAATGCAGCAAGTTGACACAGTAGGGGCCACAGTTGGTCCATCTGCCAGTCATCTCAGTCAACATATGGCACCTGAGTCTGTCCTTAGACCTCCTGTTAACGATCCTTTCACACTTCAGGTGTCCTCAAAAGGCACCATGGTGACATCACCACCACTTGGTGGCAAATGACGGGTGTTGTTGTGTTCTTTGAGCAGCCTCAGTCGTGAAGTGGTTCGCACACTGCTGTGCTGCCAAGCCCGCAGTGGTTTGGATACATGAAAATATACTACCCACGGCCAACGCTAGTGATGATTATGCGCAGTGCGGGCCTTCATAGGTGCTACTCGCTAACAGCAATTGCTCCGACAGCCTAAACCAGACTACACGGGGGGGGGAGGGTGGGGGTCTTTCTCTTTGCAGGCTCCTTGCTCGCCGTGGAGTGGAGCGATGTCTGCCTGTTTGACAACCGAAGCGTCGGTGGCTTCACCTTCCAGGCCGTGCTACACAGCGACGGGCGCATCATCTTCGGGTACAAAACGGTGAGTGCCACCTCGCCAAGCGCCCCCCCCTTCCCCCCCCCCCCCCCACAGGTTTTCACTGCACCGACCACGCATATACTTACACCGGCTGTGGGTGATCGTGCACACAATGTTGTCCAGTCTGTTCTCCTATAACGCCGGTAGTACTTGTGTTCCTGAAAAACGTTGCATTGGGGAAAACATTTTCGTTTTTATAATCAATAATATAGGATAAGGCACAGTCCCGCGATAGCACGTGAGATGCGTAATGCTGCGGGCCGAGCGAAGACTGAGGCGTCGTGGGTAGCGTCTAGAAGCATCCAGCAACATCCCAATGCCTTGTGCGATGCTACTCCAAGGCGCCTGTACGACTGCTTATTCCTACTCGCGCGATATAGTTGCGTTCGTTCGACCGCGTTCTATCCAATTCACATCCGCATTGTAAAAAATGTGTTCCATGTTACATTAATCACGTGATATCCAGTTTGCGTTTTGAAAACGCGCATTATAGGAGAACAGGACTGAACTGTATTGTGTCGATCCGACAACCTGAGGGGAAACTTAGCCTCCTGGGTGAGGGTGACATTCTATAACTCGTAGTTTTATTGTCTATCTTTCTTCCTCTGCACTTGACTGATTGTGCAGTCTAAGGCGATCTTTGTCTACCTTTGTGTCCACGGAACTATTTGCCCCCACTTCCCGAGCACATTCATCGTGGATTAGTGGGTCTCGACAGCCAGCACGCTTCGTTTGAAACCGCGAGCGCGCCCCCTCCATGTTTGTGGTGGCGAGGCGATGTTGGCGGCTGGTCTCTCTCTAACCTTGTGTTGCTCGTGGCTCGTGCTGCTGTCGGCGTCTGCGGATTGCTGTGTTTGGTGTGTGCTTTTTGTGCTCTGAAGGAGAGTAATTATACTGTTCGCAGGGAAAATAAACACGTGCCCTTTTTGACACAAATGCGCTATTGTGGCTTGCTTTGACATATATAGAAGAGCTTTGTGGCTGTATTACATCTGTGTGTGTGAGGGGCATGTGTGGTAGGATTGTGTTTAGGTTCTGGTGCTGCTAACACCTGAATACTGTGGAACTGGCATCCTGTGGCCGTATCTCTTTCCCCGCGTCTCGCCGCTTCATATCCATCGCTCCCCTTTCATCTTCTTCCCTCCAATCAGCTGCTAATGCCCATCGGTTTGGCTGCCAATATCACAGTCAATAAACACTAAAAATGTCGACAATGTTATTTCCTTTTGGCCATGTGACGACGTTAGTTAAGGTTAAGAATACGTGCAATATTGAAAGTTCTATAGACACTTTGGTATGCTGTAATGGCTATGTATGTGTAGTGTCTTCAAAAATTACTCGCACCGACACGTTGTAACAAGTCGCCTTCTTACACTTTATTCACCTATTCTTGCACCAGTTGTATCTATATGGTCACTTATGTTTAACTTCTCCCCACTCTAATCTACTTTTCACCTCCCGTATCCTGCACTTGGCAGCTCTGCACATGGCGACTCTGCACACAGCTAGTCTGCACACATTTAGTCTGCACACAGGCGACTCTACACACTCTACACACAGTGTCTCCGCACACAGCGACTCTACTTCTCCACCGCTGCCCTCACCTCCACTCGCTCAGACCCGCTCACCCGTCTGTCCCGGGCGGGGGGATCAGCCAACACCCGCCCGGCGACGGCGTGAGGGTTGAGGTCCCGTTGACGGCTGGAGCGGCAGCGGCGAGATGTCTTCACTCTTCGACCCCGCCAACAACAGCGCTCTCTCCACTCCCGCACACGCCCACCCTTACATCCCTCTGCTAATTATCCGAGACCTCTCGTGCGTCTCTTTAAGCTCTTGCCAGGCCGGCGCCTGTTGGCCCATCAATTAACCCTTATCTCCCATCTCCCTGGCAACACCTCCGGTCTCAACGTGCACAACCGGTCGACCACGTTTGCACCTACTTCGCCCCTTAACAATTGGCGGTCTGTCCGTGCAAACCTCACGTTGCACACGCGCACCTGTTTGCCCTCAGTTGCCCTCGGTTAACTGTGCGCACCGCGTATTTCACTCCTCTACACGTGTATGCGTGTTGAACTTCTTTCATTCCGTACCGAGCTAGCCGTGATAATAGAAGGTGTGGAGGGAAGGACCACAAACTAAACACAAAGAAGCTTCAAAGAAATTAGTTATCTATGTATTATATAGTGGTGTAGTAGTATATTCTATAGTGTATTGTATCGTAGTGTGTAGTGTATAGTAGTTTGAACTTCATTTGAACCGTATTTAGCCAACCGTACTAATCAGAGGTGTGGGTGGAAGAACGACAAACTAAATGCACATAAAGCAGTTGTAAAGAAAGCATGTACAGTTTGTGTAGCGATGTCGGTGTGGTATCACGTTGTTCGAGAATTTAACCGGTCCTTGTCCCATTTCCCCCCCCCCCCCCCCCCCCCGTAGATTCCCATCCCCATATCGCGGATCAGTTCAGGCAAGCATCCCGTCAAGGTCGGCATTTCGGACGCTTTCATCTTGACCCACAGGTCCCCAGGAAAACCCAGTGAGTGTGTTACTCCTATGAGTAGTGTCAATCGGTGCTCTCTCTCTTCTTAAACTGCAATCATCTCTGCAAAGTTGTAAAAGCGCTGTAGGTGTGAACCAATTTTATTCATTTACAATTTTCTGTACCTGTCCTCCGGTACACTGCACCTCTGATTTAGCACTGTTGGCAACATACGGTCCAAATGAAGTGCTACGTAATACTGCAACACAATTTGGGTTTACAGTGTCTAAATGTGGCTTTTGTAATTTGGTCGCATCTCAAGTTGCTGCGAATGAAGGAAGGAAGCCGTGCAGCGTGGGACAAACTCTTTGGCAGTAATCCTGCTACTGCGTCGGCACTGGTGCAGAAACACAAATGACAAAAACAAAATCCCGCCATGTTCGTCAGTAAGACTGCCTTTTTTTAAGGAGATTTTAAAAAGTCTAATGAAAAAATATGTAACATGCACAATGACACGGGTCATGGACAGAGAAAGGGGGGGGTTATTTATTTAAATAGTTTTACCGCTTATATTTTTAATAGCCAGATTTTTTTCTTGCATTGCATAAAGCGTTGTGATTATCTTCACTAATCGCTGTGGTAAAAAGGTTTGAAAGTTTTTAAAATGTGTAATATCGGGTATCTATTACAAAGTGAATGAACTCGAGGGTAGACATCTTGATATGTCTGTGTCAAAGTTAACAGGTGCATAAATATGTGTTTTTAATTTTACTATTGGTTAATTTGTTGAGACTTTGTGACTTGCACATTACGAATGGGTACATTTTTATGCTTGACTTCATGAGCACCACATGGGAATACAGGGAACTTTCTGAAATGAGAAATAAAATATCGAACATATGACCTGCTTACATTTAACCACCTGATTGTAAAATGTAGAACTTCCTGCAATTCTGGCTGCCCAAACAATGCTGCTTTGTTGTTCATACGATCAGGCGTTAACGATCAAAATATATGGCTGGCCAGCTCTGGCAAGGTTGAACCTTTGGCTTCCCTTGTAATTCCTCAGAAATTATTAGAATTACGTGCACTTTGTCAGAAGCTAAGAGCGGTGGTAATTTAAATGGACCGCTGGTCCCATGTCGTAGCAATAGTAAACAGTACAATGTCGCATATCCAACTCGCTGATGACTGAGTTGTAGATGGATATGTGGCAAAATTTTGATATGTGAATGATACAAAATGATGGTTTCACCACCGCACGCAAAAACTGCACTGGGTTTGGTGGTTAATTGGTCAGGGCAGATAAGTGACGTTGTTTACGTTTCAAACTGCCACTGCTCGCCTGTGGCCTACGGTGAAGCTTGAGTTACCGTACCACCCTTGTTTGAGCGAGATGTGATGCTGCGATTTCATACAGAGTGGGGCGGTTACCCCGCTGCTGTAACGATTTTACTGCCGTCAGTCCCGAGCAGGTGGACCGTGTACGAATATCACCGCGTTGATCTGGACACCACCGAGTTGACCAGCGGCTGCACCATCGAGCTCGTTCCCTTGCCAAGTAAGGCCCGGCTTCTCTCCTCCATCTCTCTCTCTCTCTCTCACTTGTGCAAGATGCTGGCTTCGCAGATGTGGAAGCGGTGGGTGCAAGGGGGCGGTTTTTATTGTGCTGCACTTCCATCATCCACTGCGCTGTGAATTTAGTGACCCGAGTTGAATTTACGAACCGTGGCTAACATTGGTGCGGAGTGATATCTGAACTGGTCCTGGGCCCCTCCTTCACAAAACCTGCACTGGCCATAATTTATTATTATTACTATGGTAAGTATGTATGCTGAACTTCTTTTTGCACCGTACGTAGCCAACCCTGCTAATCGACGACGTGGTAAAATAAGCCCCATAACCTAAAGGTGCGGGAGGAGGCTTTCATCCAACAGTGGAATGACAAATGGTTGTCAATTATTACGTGAATTATTACATACTTTCAACACCATTTTAGGCTACTTTTATTATAATCTTTCATTCAGTTTGTCAGTCAGAAAATAGAATCCAAATATTTATTTCTACTGGAGAAATCCGATGAGCTATGAAGCTATTTTTTGTTGTTGCAAGCAGTCACAATGATTAGTCTTAAATATCAAGTCCACCTTTCGGCCCAGCATCTTATTTTGTTTTTATTCTTTGGCGATGTCACTGTCGTAGAATTGCATTGGTGGGGGCATGGCAGTGGTGGTGGTGGTAAAGGGAACATCGCTGGGGGCTCTTCCCACCCTGATATTAAATACACTTTCACATCTTGCTACCGTGGTGCAAAATTTTGGCGACCTGGTGGTGAGATGTTATCTGCCTCGTCTGGAGATTGTTGTATATTTGGAGTTTGTGTGTCTCTCTCCCCGTGGTCACGTGGATTTTTCTCTGGGTCCTCTGCTTTTTCTCTCCACATTGAATATCAACATCAAGCATTTAGAGTATTTGACTGCAATAAATTTCTACATGATAAGCCACTTCGTTGAGCTATCATTTGTGGCCAAGTCGATTCTGAAAAAGAGCTACATAGCTCAGTGGGCCCTTACCTGGTAAAATAAAAATAGTTTAGCTTCGTCTTTGGTTCTTTCGGTAAAGTCACGTAGGTATAAAATAAAATAAATTAAATCACGACGTTTCGATTTCAACACAAGCAATCATCATCTGGTGGGAAAACCACAGCAAGAAATTAGTTTTTTTTGCTGAAGTGGGAGAGAGATGCCGTGGTAAGAGGTTATATAGGTAAGAGAGGGGGGAGGGGCAAGGGTCGGGGGGAGGGGCAAGGGTGGGGGGGGTAGGGGAGGGGGCGTTGCGTGGACGTCCCTCTCCTAGCATCCACGCAACGCTCCCCCTACCCCCCACCCTTGCACCTCCCCTCTCTCTTACCTATATAACTTCTTACCACGGCATCTCTCTCCCACTTCAGCAAAACAATGTCTTGCTGTGGTTTTCCCACCTGATGATGATTGCTTGTGTTGCAATCGAAACGTCGTGATAAAATGTATTTTATTTGATACCTACGTGACTTTACCGAAAGAACCAAAGAGTGGATCCCTGCAGTCACGAAATCTTCCAATCTAGCTTAGCTTGGTTTAAAAATAGCCAGTGTTGCATTCCTTTTGGCAGTTTGATGTGGTGACACTGGATTGGCAGTGGTGCACAAGCAAAAAAAAACCCAAACCCCGATGCATCCGTCAATAACACAGCCTTCAAACGGAAAAGTCGACATTAGGTAACGTTTTGGACAGTGACCCTTCCCTTTATGTTCTATGAAGAAGGGCCATTGCCTAAATTGTTGCCAAATTGTGAAAACTTTCCGTTTTTAAGGCAGTGCTCTTGATGAATGTGATTTTGAAATTTTTTTTTTGTTCTCGGGTAGAGGTCTAGCAAAGCACCGTTTAAGATGGGATCCGCAAGATGAGAAATGGCATGATGCATAAATGTATTATCATGAACTGACAAAAAATGGCTTTTCTGTTATGGAAACTCTTGGCTGCAGCAGTCTTGAGCCTATCTCAAAGTGTGGAATGTTGTCTCATGGATTCACTGATCTCGGCCAAAGGAATGTAGAATTCATAATTATTTGCACTTGTAAGGCACCTTTTACATAATCTCAATGTATCAGGGATTGAAATGAGAAGGTTTTTAATGAAATAACTGGATGGCAAACTGAGCCAAGCAAGAACAAATCTAGGTGTTTAAAACTAAACTAAAATGTTTTTATCTTGGTGGGTAAGGCCCACTGGTTATATAGCTCTTTTTCAGAAGCGACCTGGCCGCAAATGATAACTCAACAAAGTGGCTTATGTTAAAATTATGAGCAGCCAACTACTATAAACGCATCATGATGATTCTAAGTTTTTACTCCGGACTTTAAGTTGTCAACCCAATCCGAGGAGCCTGACCCTCCACAGGTGGAGGGGCTCTATAACCCTGGAGGTACCACAGTAAATGCCCAATCACCCTATCGAGGCGTGCATAGGGATGGGAGGGGGGGGGGGCACAATTGGCAGGTCTTAAAGACCACGCCAAGGCATCGGATAGAATTGGATCCTGAATATGAAGTAGCACAAGCGCTCACAAGGCCTTGAACACGAGCAATGAATTGTTTCTACTTGCTCAGGGCTGTGAACAGACACGAGTGTCTTGCGGCGTTCGTAATGGCATGAAGGACATTTCAATTTAGAATCCGATTATTTATTTATACTGGAGGAATCTGATTAGCATAAAGGTATTTTCTTAAAGATGTCCAGTAATCACACTTGAAAGGTTTGTGCGTTTATTCCTTTCGTGGTTCAATTTCCAAAATAACGGGACTGGTTTAAATTACGCACCGTTTTTCAAAGGTTAAAGCAGTCGCACTTATTGCTCTGTTTTTTACCATGCAACTATGAAATTGGATTTCATTGAGTCATTTGTAATCAAATAGCGTCTAAACGCTTTTTTGGAACGGTAGGGCGTTTCAACTACAGTGTACCCCCCTTTTTTTACAAGTGTTTTGAATGCGATGGGATAATTCAAGGCAGTGTGCGCTTAACCGAAATTCCGAACCTCGTCCGAGGAATGATAATTGGTTCTTTACCCTTCTATCTGGCAACAAAACTGACACCTTTTTGCAAGGAGTCATGTTTGCATAGACCGCAATACCTGCAGTCATAAATACAAACAAAAGACATAACTCTGATAATGTGCACTGTCCTTGAAGTTGATTGGTCCACACCCGAGACAGCTTTCCTTCGAGCCTAGTCTCATATGGGTTGGACCAGATGACGCCAAAAGGCGCACAACTCAAGGACAATGCACCATCAGAGTATGAGAGCTCGGGGCAAGCATCTACACTATGGGGACCTCATTTGCCAGTAAAAATATGATAATTGGTTCTTTACCCTTCTATCTGGCAACAAAACTGACACCTTTTTGCAAGGAGTCATGTTTGCATAGACCGCAATACCTGCAGTCATAAATACAAACAAAAGACATAACTCTGATAATGTGCACTGTCCTTGAAGTTGATTGGTCCACACCCGAGACAGCTTTCCTTCGAGCCTAGTCTCATATGGGTTGGACCAGATGACGCCAAAAGGCGCACAACTCAAGGACAATGCACCATCAGAGTATGAGAGCTCGGGGCAAGCATCTACACTATGGGGACCTCATTTGCCAGTAAAAATATGATAATTGGTTCTTTACCCTTCTATCTGGCAACAAAACTGACACCTTTTTGCAAGGAGTCATGTTTGCATAGACCGCAATACCTGCAGTCATAAATACAAACAAAAGACATAACTCTGATAATGTGCACTGTCCTTGAAGTTGATTGGTCCACACCCGAGACAGCTTTCCTTCGAGCCTAGTCTCATATGGGTTGGACCAGATGACGCCAAAAGGCGCACAACTCAAGGACAATGCACCATCAGAGTATGAGAGCTCGGGGCAAGCATCTACACTATGGGGACCACATTTGCCAGTAAAAATATGATAATTGGTTCTTTACCCTTCTATCTGGCAACAAAACTGACACCTTTTTGCAAGGAGTCATGTTTGCATAGACCGCAATACCTGCAGTCATAAATACAAACAAAAGACATAACTCTGATAATGTGCACTGTCCTTGAAGTTGATTGGTCCACACCCGAGACAGCTTTCCTTCGAGCCTAGTCTCATATGGGGTATTGCGGTCTATGCAAACATGACTCCTTGCAAAAAGGTGTCAGTTTTGTTGCCAGATAGAAGGGTAAAGAACCAATTATCATATTTTTACTGGCAAATGAGGTCCCCATAGTGTAGATGCTTGCCCCGAGCTCTCATACTCTGATGGTGCATTGTCCTTGAGTTGTGCGCCTTTTGGCGTCATCTGGTCCAACCCATATGAGACTAGGCTCGAAGGAAAGCTGTCTCGGGTGTGGACCAATCAACTTCAAGGACAGTGCACATTATCAGAGTTATGTCTTTTGTTTGTATTTATGACTGCAGGTATTGCGGTCTATGCAAACATGACTCCTTGCAAAAAGGTGTCAGTTTTGTTGCCAGATAGAAGGGTAAAGAACCAATTATCATATTTTTACTGGCAAATGAGGTCCCCATAGTGTAGATGCTTGCCCCGAGCTCTCATACTCTGATGGTGCATTGTCCTTGAGTTGTGCGCCTTTTGGCGTCATCTGGTCCAACCCATATGAGACTAGGCTCGAAGGAAAGCTGTCTCGGGTGTGGACCAATCAACTTCAAGGACAGTGCACATTATCAGAGTTATGTCTTTTGTTTGTATTTATGACTGCAGGTATTGCGGTCTATGCAAACATGACTCCTTGCAAAAAGGTGTCAGTTTTGTTGCCAGATAGAAGGGTAAAGAACCAATTATCATATTTTTACTGGCAAATGAGGTCCCCATAGTGTAGATGCTTGCCCCGAGCTCTCATACTCTGATGGTGCATTGTCCTTGAGTTGTGCGCCTTTTGGCGTCATCTGGTCCAACCCATATGAGACTAGGCTCGAAGGAAAGCTGTCTCGGGTGTGGACCAATCAACTTCAAGGACAGTG